CTATGCAACAATGCATAACCAGCGCCTAACCAGCACAAACTGCTTCACAGGGTGGAAATCGGACACTGCGGCTCTTGTCTTAATATCCTGTATGATGTCGTCCTTTTCCAGCAGCTTGTAAGGGCTCTGCTCTGTGACATCCTCATCAATGCAGCATTCAAAGAGCTCCTGGGTGGCTGTTGTCAGGACGATGGGGTAGATGTCATCAGGGTGATCTTCAGGAGCGTTCAGAAACAATTGAGAGAAGAAAAATAGGGAAGTTATCTGATAAAACGAGCTTTTGGGCTTCATTCCCTAAAAGCAAAGCTGATGACTGATGACGGCTCAAATAAATACTAATACTAATACTACTACTACCACAAATAATAATAAAAATAGTGAGAATAATGATAATAAATAATTCAGAACCAATTACTTATGTTTTAGAATATTGAATGAGACTGTATCAGATAATCAAACAATAATGATTTTGATATCAAAACAATGTAAACACTCAGATAAGCAAACTCTGGTATAAATGTTGGGATTTTACTGGCTTGTGGATACGCACAACAGCTGCAAAGACCACTGACATGTATTTATTCAAATATGCTTGGAGTGGGCCTGGAGAATGTGTGCAGAATTGGTGCATTGCAGTGCATTGTCCATGGGGACAAGTCCTTGTGGTCACAGCAAACTATAAGGCACGCGTACATCCACGCAGAGCCTCGTGTTCACCTTCCAATGAAGAAATTTAACATCCCTCAGACCCAGCGAACGCCTCTCATCCTTCGCCTGCTTTGACTCTACAAATATCAGTCCTTATGAGAAGTCTGTGCACAATGTTTAAATGTTTCTAGGCGTACGTTTGTATCAGAATGTGTAAAAACCAATAGGGCATCCCTCAAGACATAAAGTGCAGTTACACACATTTATTCAGGACTGTTATAATACGAAGCCAAAGTACTTTACCATCGCCACAACAAAGCTTTTCCTAATAAACAATCCATTCAGACTCTACTATATCTAAGCCAAGCACAGTCCAGGGCATAGTACAGTAAACAAAGCTTTGTATAATGATAGTTTTCATCCTGATTGTGGTCTCTCGCTTCAAAGTCTTTCCACAAGGTTGCTAAGGGGACACTGGGAATGCTCAAGTACAGCTTAAGTAACCACTTCCCAGCTGGGTGTGTCAACCTTTTCCACTCACACCACTTAGGCCTCACGCCAAATCATTGTAGTGGAAACTCACACCCTTCATTTCACAGAGTCATGTGTCAACCAAGGCATTTGTATTCATGGGAAATATTTGCTTGGGAGACATAAAGAGTGTGATGCGCAGCGTTCCACAGCCCTCAAGAATGCAATTAAATTATATTTGTTGGCTGCTCCAAAAAGCTATTTTTAATTTGTTAAGCTTCTTTTCTCTTGCATAATTTACCCAGGCATTTTTAAAAGCATACCACAAGATATTTATACCAAACCTCAGAGCATTGAAATTTTAGCACAGTTTGTTTTCCAGTCTGCTCATATTAGTGAAGAATTTAAGCTTGAACAAAATACATTTATCAGCGTATCCTTAATGTCACACAATGTGCAGAAACCTGCATTTATATTTGAACTAGAAGGCCAATGTGTTGTTATTGTCACAAAGATTTTAAACTGGTTCCTAAGAAATTACCATTAGTTTTATGGCAAAGACAAGATTTTAGGCTGAGCCCAGGCTTGGCTTGGGCTCAACCTAATTAGGTCATGTTCAATTTTGTCACGTTCACAAATTGGACTTAAACTGCTGGAAGTATAAGATTAAAAGGAATAAATAAATGCAAAAAAACTGAGCAAATTTTGAAAGGAAAAATATTTTTTACTCACAATCACCTAATCTAAATTGAAACATTACTTATGCTGATGGCTACAAGCACTTGATCAAAAACAAGTTTTGGGGTTGGTATGTCTAAGAAAAAACCAAATCTAGGGACACAGAGCCAAGTAGAGAAGAGCTCCAGAGCAGCGGTCCCCGGGCCTCGAACCGGTACCGGTCCGTGAGTCGTTTGGTGTGAAATGTATGGTTTTCAGGGTTTTTATTGGTTTTCAGTGTTATTTTATTATCGTTTTGATCGTTAACTCGGTTTTCCTGGGTCTTTTCACGTGCGTTATGAATAAATCTTCCTTTTTTCGGTAATGGTTTTATTTTGTTGTATTTATCCGCGACACCTTAAAGGCCGGTCCGTGAAAATATTGTCGGGCATAAACCGGTCCGTGGCGCAAAAAAGGTTGGGGACCGCTGCATTAGAGGTTACACAGCAGTACACTTGAGAACATATCAGAACAATGCACATATGAAGGATATATAACTATTCACATTATAGGACTACTTCAAAATGCGACTGTTCTTTTGACTTGAGCATTGCTACTGGTAAACCTGAAACGGAATAATAAGGGTCTGATTAATATGCTGTGCTGAAAGTCAGCACATATGTAGGAGATAAGTAGGAGAGCCAAATGCTCAGGCTCTCTGAGTTCAAGAATAAAAATACAGTGGTGAAAAATGAACAAAGCCAGCTTTTTGCAAAAGTAAAAACACAATAAGGAGTTCGAATTTAATTTTCTCTCTTCAAAAGAAAAAAAATACAAATAATTTTTTTTCTTACCAGGCTTTTCCATAGGTGAAGGTGTCAGATTATCCTTGACTGAATAGAAAGTAACTGTTAGTTGTTAGGGTAAATCAAAAACAAAAGTAAGCCTGTTTAGATTGTTTTGACAATGTAGACTTACACTGTCGGGGCTATAAGCTGGAGACAGGTGGAATGGGTAACACAGGATATTTTAAAAAGGAACAACTCTGAGAACAATAATCTTTAACAAGGACATGGCACCATCACCTCTTCGTAAAATGATGTGCTGATAGTATTTAACTGTATGCAGGTTTTCAGCTGTGGCATGGTGAATGTAAACCAAACACTGAGAATGGGGAATCACAGCTGAGCAGAAACCATCTGCAAGCACCAATGTCACTGTGCTGTCTAACATTACACTCAAGACCAAATTAAAACAATGCAAATAGCTTTTTTTTTCTGAGATTTTTTTTCTCAGCTATTTGTGTTACAAAACTAATTAAAAGTAATTCAGTTACCATGAGTTAAGAATCCCTCAACATAAACTTAATGGCCAATTCAAAAGCATCAAGGATTATAGGATCACCCTGGCTCTGGGAAATCCGTTTACTATTTTATTTACATGTCATGAAAGAACATCTTTCATACAGAGACATATACAATAAAAGCAAACAAATGCATTTAAATTCAGAAATTAATACTCCAGGACTCACCTTTTCCTTTAACACCTGTTTTTCTTGATGGACTTTTTTGCCTCTTGGGTGCCATCTTTGCTCTTTGGGCAGATTTATAAAGGGAAGAGAGGAAGTTTACACATTTTTTTCAACCAAACACATTCTGTACACAATTTTCAATTTAATTTTCACCACTGTCACTGGCATTAGAACTCATCCGCTCAGGCGATCTTGATGTCATTATCAAAAGCTCTGGTGACATCTTGTGGCAGATAAGGGAACTGCACTGCTTACTTAAAAAAAAGCTGGTGAACTCTGAGAATAAATGCTTATATTAATTTAAACAACTTACCCAAATAATACATGTTAAAGTTATTATTATGACAATAATAAGTTGTTGTTTAGTTGTCTTAATCAGAATTATAATACAGATTACAACCAGTGATAGAGGAAGTTTTATTATACACTTGTGTTATTGTATTGTGTTATATTTTGTGCATATCAATAAAATTTATTTAATTGGGCAACATGAAGTTACAGCAATTAGCACTGTTGCCCCACAGCAAGCAGGTCTTGGGTGCAAATCCATGACCTTTCTATGTGTAGTCTGTTGTTCTCCTTTGTTCTCCAGCTTTCTCCCACACTCCAAGGACATGCATGTTAGGTTAACTAGTTCTCTCTGTTAGGCCTGTAATAGACTGGTGACCTGGATGGATGTAGTCTAATCATCAAAAGTAGTAACAACATAATTTGCCCACTGGAAATAATGTTTAGTGATGCGAATATGCTCTGCCAAGAGGACGTTTTTACTGCTTTGTGTAATATTAGGAAACTTTATATATCCTCTAACAGCATCTAATTTAACAAGCTCAAATATTTTTCAATGAAAATTTTGTTAAAAACAAACTATGGGTGTGCACTTACAATAATAATTTACTAACATTATTTCACTTAATATTTCCTTCTGGAACAAAAATACACAAAAAAGGGAACTGGAAAGTATTGGGCCCATAAAATGCATTAACTCACGAAGATAAAATATTATTACAGTTTTGTAGTTTCTAAAAAGTTTTTTGTTTCATTTTGACGTTTGTTTTCAATACAGATTACTTTCTGAGTTCGCTTGTATTATTTGACAATGGTCAATTTAGGTTTTTATGCGTTTCCTAGTTAACGATAGTCTCATTTATTTCCTGAGATATGGATGGTATTTTAGTCAGTTTAATTTTAGTCCACTGTAGTACCAGTATCATATCCACATAGCTATCACTCAGTATAATCCAGAATATGTAAGTCTCGATTTAATATCATAAAGTATAACTCGTAACGTCCTGTTTTCTTTAAGGCTTACTTAGGCATTACAAATTAGAAGACATTAGCTATTACAGGCTAGTTACGTTAAGTTAGTCGTGTAGCTAGTTAATAGCTAAAGTCATCAAAAGAACATTGGATACGCAGCTTATTTTATGCTCGAAGGTGCAACTTTTCCCCTTTACAGAAGAATGAATCAATATTACCGTGACCTTACACCGCATAGGCTTGATACCTTCTTCTATCTTCTTGATATCTTCTTCGCACTCACTGTTTTTGCTCACCAGTGGGTTGGGAACCGCTGGGTTGCCAATGGTTACAAGAGAGAGGGCGGGAGAACATTGACTGGCATTCGCACGAGCTAATCACATTCCAGCTCAACGAGGCTTCGCGAAGTGGTTAAACGTTACCTGGGTATTTTACATAGTTAAAGGAGTTTACCGGAAAGACAAGTCTGGTGCTTTAGAAGTTCAGTCGAAGTCAGTGAGGTCACTCGCGATTGTCTAATCAAAGCAACAGTTTTAATTATGATTTTTAATTGAGAGGAATATATTAATTTTGACGCCGAGTGCGCGTCGTTGGATCCGCAGCGTTGGGATGCAATTACAAGTTGATTAACCTGTTTCGGGATATCGGTAAGTATCTGTTAATGTACGTTATGTACTGTTTTCCCGGATCTACGGGGTATGAGTTCACTCCTTCACGAGGAGTAAGGAATAGCTTACATGTTCCCGCAATGCTGGAAGGCGACCGTGACTGTAAACCTGAGCTGTCTGTATTATTCAGCAGTACAAGTAAGCTAGAAGTCACTGCCTTCCTTTCTTCCTTCCTTCCCAGTCAGCTGTTAGCTAGTCATTAATCACGTGAAAGCTAGAGCTATGCATTCAGCTTGTGGCAAGTATGTTGGTTTGTTCTTCATTCTTAAGGATCAACAAAACAAAAATCAAGACTAGTATTTATTTCCCAGCCTGTGTTTTAATTCTTTTAAGTTTTCATGAATAGCACTAGGCTGGACAAAAATGTTACAATCTGCATTTAATCCCGTATAGCACATTAAAAATATTCATCATGTATCTGAAGTATAAAATGAACTCTAAACTATACACAAACACACTCATAAAGGAGCTTGCATGCATATCACCCAGATGTCAATAACTCTAGATATGGAGGAGTCCGGTGACTTGTATGATGTGCGTGAGACCAATGACCCCTCTTCTTGGGAGGACCAGCACCACCAGTGTCTGCAAGACGTGGCAAAAGTGGAGCGCCTCAGGAGGAAGATCAAGTATTACTTCATGAACCCCTGCGAGAAATACCACGCTCGTGGACGTAAACCATGGAAACTCATACTGCAGATCATCAAAATCGCCATTATTACCATCCAGGTACACGGTATTCTCAAACATGATCCAAACAATTATGATCAGTTCATTTTATTGTGATCTACTGTCCTCATAAGACTTATAATTTATAAGATTTATATTATAATTTTTCCCTACTGCAGCTGGTTTTATTTGGGCTAAGCAACCAGATGGTTGTCACTTTCAAGGATGAAAATCTGATGACGTTCAAGCACCTCTTCTTGAAAGACTATGTGGACGGAGGCATAGCTCCGTATGCTCTTTACAGACAGGCGGATGTTTATGATCACATTGAGTACGTCATTCAACAGGTGACTAAAACTTATCTATAAATAAGAAAATAAACTAAGAAGCTGTGAAATGGGTTTACTTTGGTTGTTTGAAAACACAGCTTTACATGTGCCTTAGTTATTGTTAATTATTGCTGGAATTTTACAATTCTGTATCCTCGTATGTCCAAGCGTCTTACAGGCTAAGCGTGTCATGGGATTGGACTTTGGTCATGTCGCATGAACCAGTATTTTAGTTGTGTTGATTATGGCTCATATAGTAAATGTGTTTTTAAATAACATGGCGGTTACATAAACCTCCTGTGGTAAAATGTTAGCAAAATGTCAACTACCTTTTTCTACTGTTCATTTTCAGTATCGGCTTCTGCACAACATCACATTAAGCAATCATGAATATGAGGAAAAGCACAGTGTCTACACCCCGCTGTTACTGTGTCAGGAGTTCTACAGGAACGGGACCATCTACCCTTCAAATGAGACCTTTGAAATTGATGCTCATGTGGACACTGGTAAGCATGATCAATATTTACAGGAAAGACTCATAACAGTATTGCTAAAATACACTGATTTACACGTAAGCCAACTGAAAGATTGGACACTGTGACTCAAACAAGGACTCAAAGATTTTTGCAATTTGTAATAATATAAAATTATATCGTCTAATTATCTAAAGTTTAGAAAAAATAAGGTGCTGAAACTACAAAGAATGATGTTGACACTGTTAGCAAAAATGATAAACTTTGCACAACAGTGCCTTCATTTTAACCTAACCAGCTTCATGAAGTAGTCACGTGGTGATGTTTGGGTTTGCCTTATAGAAAACTAACTAACTAAAGCCTCTTCCAGAGTAAATATATAACTGACACATATTGACAGCTAAGATAAACAGTGGACTAAACGACTACACTCACTACAGAGGAATGGCAGCCAGAGTCACTTATCCTACAGCTGCCACTGTAGCATGGATTATGCACTGGAATTGGAAGTAGTAAGAACACAGAATTCAGTTGACTGTAATCTGCAGTCTACTGACATCTAGTGGTGAGATTTTACACACTGCACCTTTAAAGTAATCTCATCACTTAACAGCACCTCAGATTAGTTGATGAAGCCTGCACAAATTGCAAATTGCTCCAAAGAAACCTCTGAGAAAGACTAATAACAGGAGATGTTATCTGTCCAAGAAGCACAGTAAATGGGCATTAGGTCAGGTAAAATGTATGGAGGATAATTTATCAAGGAGCTGCTGGTGGCTTATTTTGTTTTCAAGGTAACACTTTGACTACCTCAGCCTCCTGAAGTATTTCCCCAGTACAAAAGCATGCCTCCAGGCTCTGTAATGAGTGTTTGACCGATTGGCGCCATGATTGAGGGCTGCATCAATACCTTTGGCCTTCACTGAAATCCAAACCTAACTGATGTTTGGGATTGGAATGAGTTGGACCGTGAAGTGAAGGAAAGGCAGCCAACAAGTGCTCAGCACTTTTGGTAACTCCTTCAGCACCGCTGGAAAAGCTCCAGGACACAAAGTCATGAAGGTGGTTTTGAGAAATAAACAGTGGAAGCTTTGAACAGCATAAAAAGGAAAACACATTTGACTTTGTTTAATTTATAGACAATGGAATCAGATATAAAAATAAAAAAATCCAATTAGGTCTAATGGGTTTATTTTGTTAATTTCTGTCTGTGTTGTGGCCTGTCTCTACTAGAGTGCCTCAGAGTTTATCCCCAGCCAGTACACGAAGCGCTTCCACATTTTAAATTGGATTTCATAAGGTACGGAAAAAACATTCGATGTTTTCTTTGACTTTGTTCCCTCGCTGTTGTTGCTGTATATGCATTTAAATCCTCCTGTCAGCTCATGTGCCCGCTCTGTCTTCCAGGTTAATATCTGTCAAGATTACATTTGTTCTCAAGGCAATAAATTTGCAGACAGTGAGACATCGAGAGCTGCCAGATTGCTACGACTTCACTCTTATCGTATGTCATTTGACTTGTCTTCGTGGCTCCGTGAGCATGAGTGGATCACGTCAGACTTTGACTCTTACTAGCAGTTATACGATGTATCTGATGTGTTGTATCACTAACGCTAACCCTTCACCGTGACAGTTACTACTTGTGACTCTGTACCTAAACAAAGTATAGAGAGTCTTTATTTCTGAAGTTCATTCGGGTAAACAAATTAGAGCAGTTTAGTTACACAGCAGTTGCTGTTTATATAATGAATGTTATCATTGAGGCCAGGCAGATAAATGCTTGGCTATCAAGTGTGGCTTTAAGACTGGAGTGCTTACTCTTTCCTCTTCTCCAAATACGACTGTTTGGTTAACAGATCACTTTCAACAACCAAGCTCACAGTGGCCAGATAAAGGTTGATTTGGAAAACGAAGTAGACATCAATGAATGCAGGCAATGGAAAGTAACTGGAGCATGTAAGTTAGATGAGCAGATTCTAGTTTGTACAAATCATCTGGTTGGAGATTTTCTTTTTTTAATTTTGATGAAAATTTTGAATTCCTGTCCTCTTTCAGATGGTAGAAGCATATACCTGACTGTGCTGTTTGACTGCCTCATCATTATAATGTGCATCATCTCCTTTGCCCTGTGCACGCGCTCGGTGATCACTGGGATTCAGCTGCAGCTCGTGAGTAAAACAAAGCGGTTGCTTTTGCTCAGACCTAAAACAGGCTGTGATTGTCTGATACATTTTTGTGTACACAAGTGCAAGAGAACGCTCACAGCTGATTCTACATCTGACTAGGCTCGGCAACATGTTTTTGGCATCATTGGAAAAAAAAGATATTGTAATTCAAGTGAAGGGATCTAGTGAAGTGAAGTGGGAGTAATATTGGCCAATCAGAGAGCAGATTAGGGTCCTGAAAGTCTATAGAGGAAGTTGGATGTGGCAGCTTAAGCAGTTGGGTGGGTTAAGCAGAGGACTTGTGTCTGGGTGAGTGGGATTTTAATCCTTGCTGAAGTCAAATCAGACTTATCTTAGCTCATACAAAGTATTTGCTTCTGCCTGAGCTCAGCTGGTAGGAGGGGCTTAGGACAGAGAGGGGACAACTGCAGGATTTTTTTTTTTCAGCCTAGTGCAGCTTTTACTAAAAAAACAATTATTCTGTAGTATAACGGCAGATAAGAGCTTGCCATTGTCAGTTTTTACTTTGGGTTAGATGAGTAACACTTGTCTATACTTAAAAAGTATTTCTTTTTAGTTTTTTTTTATATAGCTTTATGACTATTGTGGCAGGAAAATGAGTATCTAGCTAGTAGCTAGCTGTATTCTGCAACCTCTCCACCCTCCAGTGAGCAGACACAGAAAGACAGAGGCAAGGAGAGCAGTGGAAAGAAAGCTCCAGAACAGAGCAGAGCAGTCATCAGGGAAAATGGATACGACATTAAGTCAGATGCAAGATGAAAAGGGGGGAGGTAGGATATAAGAGGTGGGTGCAAAGCAGGTTGCACATGCACACGGGCTGTGTACAGGTTAAAGCAGAATTTACAGTCCCCGCAAATGTGTCTGTCTGCATGCACATTTCTGTTCAGACATGGAGCAGAGAGGGGTTTTCACCCATCGTGCATGCACTCCGCCAAAATCCCACCTGTGCTTTAAGCAGATGGTACATGCGTTTATCACACAGTGGCCACTTTTCATTGTTCTAACACTTCAGGTCGCGGAAAATTTGCTCTTTTCCACGGCTGACTGACGGACCAACAACAGCACAGGCAAAAGCAGCTCACAGACCAGTTGTACCACATACTCTGTACCTCCATCGATAACAGAGCTCTCTGCAGGTAGCCAGGACATCCCTAGACTGTGAACGCACTACCCCCACTGTACCAGAAATTCCACTTAATCCAACTGACTGTAACAAGCAGTCTCTGTATTTCATAGCCAGTTGGATTTGTAGAAATGTGCTATATCAGTTGATGTGGGCTGGAACTGAGATCAGCTGATTTGCTGGGATTACAGCTGAGCTTGACTTGAAGAAAATGATAAAGATGAAGATGAAATTTTCTTATGGCCGAAGTTCAGCTCAACTTTGACTTGATAATGTCCTGCATAAACACTTTTCTCACCACTCTTCAGTACCAAAACTACGAACCAAAGGGAACATTGTGTCCACCTTTCTGTGTCACCTGTTCATTTCCTTCAAATTCTCCCTACATATGTTATCATAATATCTCATTCTCAGAACTAATAATATCCAGTTCTAATATCATCTGAACTTCATTATTCTGGTTATTAGTTTTTTACGTGCTTGCGTTTAGATCACAAACAAAAACCTGTAGTGATTAATTCTCTTTAGTGATTCAAATTACAACCCACGTTTCTTCTTTTAAACAGGAGTACAGCCGTTACTGCAGGAAACACTTCAGCAAAGAGCTGTCGTGGTCTGACAAGTTAGAGTTTGTGAACAGCTGGTATATCCTTATTATCGTCAGCGACACACTGACTATCATTGGTTCCCTTCTCAAGATAGCGATCCAAACAAAGGTAATAACATTTTAGTAAGTTCGTCATTTCAATTGTGCTAGCCGTTATTATTTTCTGTTTGATACTACAAGTATTTTTTTGAGTTCATCATTCATGTTTTTTTTCCTTCCAGGTGCTCACCAGCTATGATGTGTGCAGCATCTTCCTTGGCACAGGCACCATGTTTGTCTGGATGGGGGTGATCCGTTATATGGGATACTTCAAGAAGTATAATGTAAATCTGTCACACAGTAGTAGATTTTTTGTTTTAATAGATCTCTAGACATGATTAAACATGTATAAAATCCTTTTTTATTCATTAGAAAGGGTTAAATAATTAGAAACATTTGTTCATAGGTCTGAAAAGAAGATGCAGCTTTTCTTATTGTCTTTGTGCATAACGGCAGTGTGTGAAAGACTAAAGCTTAATAGGACCTCAGAATACTTTAAGGTCTCTGAATGGCCAGTTGTGGGAAAACTAGACCCAGTAAACCTGAAGATATTCTCGAAGAGAGCATGATTCACACACTTTTGCACATGTGTTTTTTAGATGCATTACCATGTGTTCATTTCCAGATCCTCATCCTGACACTCCGGGCAGCTTTCCCAAATGTTATTCGTTTCATCTGCTGCGCGGGAATCATTTACCTGAGTTACTGTTTTTGTGGCTGGATTGTCCTAGGCCCGTATCATGAGAAGGTAACAAGCATTGTACTTAACACAAAAAAGGCCTGCTTTACTTTACTGAGGCCAAATTAACTTTTTTAAAATCAATGCAGTGGGGAAAAAAAATTAACGTGGTGCTCTGTAAATGTCTTTGCAGTTCCGGACGTTGAACACTGTGTCAGAGTGTCTGTTCTCGCTGATCAATGGAGACGACATGTTTCCCACTTTTAAGAACATGCAGCAGAAGAACAGCCTGGTGTGGATGTTCAGCAGGGTCTACCTCTACACCTTCGTGTCACTCTTTATCTACATGATCCTCAGCCTTTTCATCACACTCATCACTGACACCTATGACACCATCAAGGTATTGCTACCTTTCTACTAACTCTGTCATTGGTTTTTGTGTTTTTTAAATGCACATTCTGCTTTGAATGCTGCAGAAGAAAGTTTTAAGCGCAGGTCTAACAAAAGGTTTCTGAGAAAGCCTTAATAGTTGAAATGGTGTCTGAAACGCTTAACAAGCATGCACTCTGTATCTACTGTCACTCTCCGACTTGCATCATTTAGCAACAGCAGCAGAGTGGAACCCCAACATCAGAGCTGCAGAGATTCTTGTCAGAATGTAAAGACCTGCCAAACTCTGGGGCATACAGACTTGACAAGAACAATAGCTGTTTCCTAAACTGCTTCAACAACAGGTAAATCCAGACTTCTGCTCTACAGCACTTCTTTGCTCTTTAGTTGATATTGCACCGCTTACTAGAGATGTCTGTTGGTAATTAAACTTGAGGTGCGAGTGAAAATTGGTCATATTTTTGTAACAGAGACTCTCCCCCCACCTTCCTTTCAGATGCAGGAAGTATCGAACTCAAGAGAGGCTGACTTCAGAGGCGTGACATGATTTCATTGTGGAAACGCATTAAAAATTATAATTAATGTGCACTTTATCCTGTTATAGTCAGCTACAGGGATTTTTTTAACCTGACTGAACCCATCTGGTTAGAAGTGAAGCACTGTGATGCACTTCTCCTAGTTTCATATGAACACTGTATGAAAATGTTTTTAAATCAAGCACGTCATACTGGAAGTTGCAAATTCTAGGTAATAAATCAAGGTTCAATGAATAAGTTGAAAGGTGTATTAAATGATTTTATTTCCCCATCATCAGGAGAAGGTATTAGTATAAAAGCTAATATTGTAGCATTTTACCCTTCACATTAGTTAATCCTCTGTAAAATCTTGTTACAATTCAAAAAAATAAAAAATCCCATTTCATTTCACGGTAATAAGACAACCCATACATCTGTCAGCACAGTAAAATAATTAAGTCTTTTGTGTCTTTAAAAGCAATATCCGCAAGCAGATATTGTATATGGCTCCACGGTGCTGTAGCAGTGGATTATTTCCCAAGAGAAGAGTTGAGCTCCTTTGACAAATTACTGCTGGAGAGGTCAGAGATCAATTCAAACAAAGATGTTCCATTCTTGCATTTAATGAAGTTGTAAACAGACCACACACACTCCACGCTGCTTTAATGCATCTTCCTTTCATCGAATATGCCATCCAACTTGAAGCCTTGAAACCGAAGCCAAAATCCATTATTTTCTTTTTGGCTTATGATTTTGGAATACATAATCCAGCCACCAGTGACCACTACAACCATCTGTTTGCAGGAGTGACTTTATGCAAACTTCCAGAGTAAACGGACATCACTGGTAGAGAGGTCTCTTATATAAGCAGCCAACCAGTGACATCACCAATATTTAAAAAAAAAAAAGAAAAAAAGTTGTGACCTTTCAATAAAATAAATTCCCAAGTCTTGTAATCATAAATTTCACATGATTTTTAAGTCACGATGCCAGTTTTGAGAGCTTGACTTCCTCACAGGATTGCTTTGTATTCTTCCTGATCGCACAGGAAATCAGTCAGGGCAGTCCAAAAAGGCAGGAATTCCTACAGGTTACAAACTCTCCTTAAATGTAAAAAAAAAAACCAAAAAAAAACAAACAAACCCAAAAGCAAAACGCCAGAGCTTGTTACTTCATTTAATATGAAAAAAAAAAACCCTGCTGGTCAGCGTCAGCCTAGTTTGGACTGGTTTACTCCAGAGGGAGGTGGAACCCGTTGCTCCTCCATCCTGTTGGATTGGGAACGCAGGATGAGACTGAAAAAATCCTCATCAGGAACAGTCGATGCTTTAGTTGTAGGTGGTGGAGCAGCACACCTCTGGTCATTCAGTCTGGAACCCTAAAACACAATCGAGAGTTAAATTATACCAACTGAAGTGTTTAGTGATGCTTTGCACGTATCAGAATTGATTAACCCCTGATTATACTTTATTAGGCATAAAGCAGAAACTGGTAAGTGAGGAAACTCATTTCCAGGGTAGTGGTGCAGCATGGAAACTGATAAAAATTAGAAATGAGTGGCCTAATATTTTCTATTCTGAGGTCCAGTAGATTGTTTTGGCTGGGAGGCCTGCCACGCCATAGCCCATGAAAATTCTCACTTGACTGCATTACACTGCCTATCACACCTAGACATTAACTCACTTTTCAAATACCCAACTTGGTTGAAAAGTACATACATGAGTCCCTTTTTGTCTTGGATATTTCGTGGAATGAACTGGGTAATATGGTGCCAATTAAGAAGGACTGCCCTGCACTTTCAATGAAATGGCAATGCCTTGTTTAACCTGGAGCACAGTCAGCATGAGAAGACGGTGTACAGCAGTCTCTTGTTTAGTATAAATAATCCTGAATTATCCAACCATGTTCAAATTATCAAAGCTACTTCCTGGGACCTAAATTCATGGACCCAGAATCTAAGTGTTATCACATGGAAAACTTTAAGGGCATGTACAAGGCAGGACGTGATGCAATGAATTTTCTTTACCTGGCATTTGACTAACATGTCGAAGAAGACATCATCCCCCTCGGGCTGCTCAGAACTGGCCTCGAGACGACCGTACAGGGAGGGTGTGCGAGTAGTATTTGCAGTGGGGACTGGGACTAGGAAGAAAACCAGAAACCCTTTACGTGATATTATGGGGAGTAATGAAAGGATAAAAGTGGGCTTTTCCTTGCATTCTTTACCTTGTGACTGGACTTGATCTGTGTTGGAGGTGGAGGGTGTACAAGGCTGGTTGGAGGTGTTGACACGTAAGCCAGGAAAAGGGGTCATGCTGACCCGTTGGTCGTCCAGACGGCGGGCTTGGGAGCTGGCCAGCAGCTCCAGGAAATGACCAGGATCCTGGTATAGTCGTTCGCGCTCTGAAACAGCTACAAACAGACATAATTATTATGTGTGTGAGTAACCAATGGAAGTGAGTTAACTGTTAGTTGGGCAATTAGCTACTCAACCCAACATTTACTCTTGACTTTGTACACGTCAAAAGAGGGCAGTATCTTAAAGCAATCCTCCACCCAAATGAAGTGTGCCGCTTCAAATATTCCTCGGAGGTTTGAAAGCTGGCTGAAAAGAATTTGCCCTTCATAGAGACTGTCGGGTGTGATAAGCTGGGACTCATGGCCGTTACAGACGAGTGCAATGATAACAAAAAGGCTCATAAACGCCACTGTGCTCACTAAAGGATAAAACCACAAATATAGCTTTTTGGGTGGAGAATCACTTAAGGTCATCTCTGCCATGAGGAAAAGCAACATTCAACATGTAAAAGGATAATTCTGTGACATTCACACCACAATACGCCAACACTGGGAGTGCCTTCTCTGTAGTTCACTCGTATATTACCTGGCACCTTTTTAGATATGGCGTGAACATCAGTAAGGACACAAGACTGACTCACATTTCTTTTCAGCTACAGGTGGGACGGAGGAGGGAGAGGGATGGGCAGGGAGATGGCTGTTGCCATCCAGGGTACACCTTTGCTCGTCCATTCTGTTGCCCTGGAAACGAGAAAGGACGTCGAAAAAGCTGTCCTCGCCGATAGTGTCCCGTGTTTCTGGCTACAAAAACATTAAAAATCTATAAATAAATAATGAAACAGGTTTAATAACAACAGAAAACGCTGCAGATAACGGAGGTACTCAAACAAACAAAACAGTAAAGCTAAAACAATTAGTTAATTTGACCTTTGACAGAAAATTAAATCACTTTAATAAAGATGCCATTTGTGTTCTGGGAAATTTTGATGAACACTTTCTCTATTTTCCAACATTTTAGAGGCAAAACTGACTAAAAGGCAAGTGTGACAAGAGATGAACCTTTACACTCTGGCAGAGAGTGGAGTAGATGTTTACTGATACTTATGCATCAATATACTATAAACAGCTATGAATACAATAAGATAAGTATCCTGAGTGGTTTTCGGCTCCCTTTGTTAACACAGCCTTTCTTCATCTGGTGCACACAGTTTGTTACACCAACTGCGATGCAGTTGAATATACAACAGATTCTCTGAGGTGGCACATCTAATTTCATCTGGTGAGGGTCCTGTACTACAAAGAGAGTTCAACATAATAGGATATCTTTGAATCAGGATAAGCAGTTACATATAACTGGTTATGAACTCAGCAACTTAGCCCAGGGTTTCCCAGAGTGCTGCTAGCAGCATCTGACCAATCACAACTTGGGATAATTGTACTAGCAGCAGAGTGGATGATTTTTACAAAGAAAGCCCCTTTTTTGTGTAGCAATTTTTCTTGTCTTATGATATCAACATACTCCAAGACAGCTGCAGGCACAGAGGACAAAAGCTTAGATTCACTAGTTTACAGTTTATTACTACAAGTGTTACATTTTGCTACAAATTCACTTAAATCTGAAACGGCCTGTATTTTAGCAGACTCGGTATTGTACAGACAAACCGTTTCCCTTTAAGTACTTGGAAGCAGTAGGAAGAAAAACAACAATGAACATAAGACAGAAACTATGACTCCATGCTGCTACACAGAAACTTCCTCCCACAGCATTAACACTTTTGTGGGAAGGCATCTGCGTGAGGTTGTGTCACAGGCTACATGCTCACTTTGAATGATTTTAGGCTGAATCATCACTGACCAGAAGCTCAGCGAGGATTCCAAGAATGTTTTGAGTGGGTTACGTCTTTCTGCCTGCTTTAACTTACACATACCTTCTGAGGCACTGGTGCTTCCAGCTCAGGCTCCGTGTCCCTGGTGCAGGTTTTGCGCCGGTCTTCCAGAGAGGATTTGTCATCCTTCTGCTTTTTGCTTTTTGTCCAGGGGAAGGGGAAAAGCTTACTGGAAGCCTTGATTGAGTTGTTTTTTGAAGACCCAGAGAATGCATCTTCCCCCCAGTCCTGTATATATAAAAACACACAGAACATACGACTTTCTTACTGACAGAATTACAAGATCAGTCTTTTTTTTTTTTACCTAGCACAGGCTGGGTGAACAGAGCAGAAAGTACCATTCTCTGCAAACCATTTTTCATGTAAAATTAACTCTTTTTTTGTATTTAATGTGTTTTCATTGTCAGAACAGCTGTTTTTTTGTTACTCTGTTCCACTTTGTCTCCTAAAAATAGTGAATATAGTAAAACTAATAAAACTAAAAATTTGGCTAGCCTAATTTAAAGCTCAGGAGTTTGGACCATTTCATTTGTTATGGCCAGTTTTGAAATGGCCAGTTAGTTTTACGTACCGGGTGTGCTGGCAAATCTCCCCTTTGACTTTTGGGGGAAATTGGACTGTAATCCAAGTTCTCTTCTTTACTTCTGTTCAAGGATGCATACTTGGTCCCTGAAACAAAAATTAAAAAAAAATTAGCCAGTGTGGCCACATTTCTGGAAAAACAATGATTCAGTGAAGCATCACAGCATAAAGCTACAGGACACAAGCAAATGGATTTCTGAATCTTAGCAGCATGGGTTTGGTGTTAAAGAGGACTCGACTCTTGTTCATGCACATTTACACACACGCAGAAGTGTAAAAATGAACTGGTTAACAAAGTCCAGATTTACCTGGTATGCTGGGGTAACCCTGGTAGCATCCTGTCAGAGCAGAGCTATTTGCATTGGTGTTGCCGAAGAGGAAGGGATGAAAGT